CGTCCTGGCAGCCACACAACCGTCCCATTCCTGGGGGCTTGGTGGGGCCTGAGTGATATTCATGGCAAAGCCATTTGGTGAAGGAGCCGAGCAAATGTCGATTAACAAACTGCATGGCCCCGTCTCCATGTACAAAGGGAAGGAGAAAGACATTGCTGCACATTCTCAACCACTCCATAACTTATCTCTATCAAAACAGAGCCGGGGGCTCATCCCATCAGCCATGGAATTTGAAGCCACAGAGGAGCTGGGCCTCTGATACTCCTTCCTAAATAAACACAGATTTATGAGTTTCTGAGCAAAATGGACTGTCTCCAGACGAGATCAATTATAAAATTAAAAAACACGCCAGCTGCTGAATCAGATGGAGGCGAGAGCACCCCACCCATCCCATCCCCCTCTCTTCTTCCTCCCTCCCTTCCCCCATGTCTGTGTCTATCTGTGTCTCTGTCTCTTTCTCTCTGTCCCTGTCTCTCTCTCTGTCTCTGTCTCTGTATCTCTCTCTCTCTCTCTCTGTCTCTCTGTCTCTCTCACTCATAAGGAAGGGTGAATCTTTTCTTGTCAGACCTTGACATTGTCCTCATCCCGCAGCAGATTTGTGAGAAAGACTGTCTGGGGACAATCTACAGTGTGTTGCCTGGGTCTGATCTTAGGCAATGCAAATTCTTTTCATTTATGTCACGTGGACACCAGCTCAAAAGCCTGTTTTCATTTCGACCTCTTGGCACTCTGGCAATGATAACCGCTTTTACAACAAAGAAAGCAATCCTACGCAGTCCTTACCCCATCTTGAAACGAAGGTGGCCCCTGGGCTCATGGAGGCCCGGCAGCTCCCACTGGGCCAGACAGGCTCTAAGTGTGTACTTGGTGATGACCTGGATTGAATGTACGTGGAAGCACTCAGGAGATGTAGCAGACGGAGGGTTGGTGTTGGGAAGACCTAAGTTCAGGTAGTTTTACACACTAGCTGACTGACCCTGGGCAAGTCACTGAATCTTTTTCTGCCTCAGTGTTTATATCTTTAAAATGGGCATAATAATAGTACTTAACACACGGGCTTTAAATAAACTGAGTGTTAAATAAGATGGTGTTTGTGAAGCGCTTTGCAAACCAAAAGCTCTACAGTAGAAATGTGAGCTATTATCATTTTAACAGCTATCATTAATAGTGTCTAACATTGACAAAGCACGTTAAAGTTTACAGAGAGCTTTGGTCGTCAGACAGCCCCGAAAGGCAAATGCTGTTATTGAGGCAGCTGGGGATGCTTCCAGTACTGCTCCAGACACTTACCTATTGTGTGACCCTGGGCACTTAACTTCCTCTTCTGTAAAATGGGGGTAATAACAGCACTTACCTCTCAGGGTTGCTGTGAAGACAAACGAGGTAATAATGGGAAAGCCCTTAGCGCAGTGCTCAGCACACAGCAAGGGCTATATAAGTGATGCTTATTATTATTTATTCCCATTTTACAAACAGAGGTTAAGTGATTTGCCCAGGTTCACACAGCTAGCGTCTTAGCCTGGATTTGAACTCAGGTCTTGCTGGCTCTGGGCCCAGCACTTTAACCACTGCCTCCTGGAAGCCTCGCAACTATGTAGTGAGCAGACGCTACAAGGTATTCTATCCATCTTACAGATAAGAACAGTGAAAGGACTAGGTGACAGTCACAAAGGAAGTCATTGTCAGAGATGGGATTCAAACTGAGGTCTCTCCCGCCTCCCTGAGAGGAGTGCACCGTCCACTGCCCCACACTGTCCTCCGTGGTACCCGCTAGCCAATGGTGTGAGTGCGAGTGACTGGAGTGTGGTAATCAAGGACTTTGGGGCTTGGAACTCATAATGCCAAGGTCACTAACTCTCCGAGACAATCTGAAGGCTGTAACAGAGAGAGAGCGAATTCAGCACATGTGGGAGAAGATTGAGTCCCTCATCTCATGCTAATGGTCTGCCTACAGCCATCCCCAGCTCCCTCCTGATAGCTTCCCCGGTTTAAATAATGAAGGGGCAGAATTGGAAAGTTGTTAATAAATTTCTTCCTCTGTGAAATGAGGGGACAGTATAAATGACCTCAGAAGTCCTTTCCATTTCTAAAGTTTGAAATTGTTTTATGAAGTGTTTTGGAAATCAATTTGGGGGGGGCGGAGTTTATTCCCATCTCTACCCCTGGTTAGCCTTAGAAAAGCTGCCCGCTTCTATTCAAAGTGGGGGAACCCTGCCTAATATGAAAGAGAGGAGCAGAACAGATGGAGAAAGGAAATGGGTTTGAGAGAAAAGCTCTCCCAACTTCAGCCAATCCCCCTGCCCAGCTCCCCTTGCCCCGAGACTGCTCCAAGCCCCATCAAGCTGCCTCACCGCCTTCAGCCCTCTCCAGATGCCCTGGGGAGCTGCTCTTCCTCCTAGTCAAACATTGGAAGCTGATTGAGAGTACCAACTGTCTTGTGTCCTTTCATCTGTAGCCCCAGGGCTTAGCTCGGTGCCTGCCTGGCACATAGTATAATAACTAGAAAAACCTGAGTTCAAGTCCACCTCTAACACATACCTGCACATAGTAAGCACTTAATAAATGTATTATCCATCTATCATCTACCTATTATCTATCATCTATCTATCTATTTATTGGTCTATAATCTATCCATCTGTCACCCATATATTTATTATAATAATCAGTGTCACGGCCCTCTTCCCCACATATCTCTGATGTCTAATTTCACATTTCCCCAGTTTGAGTAAAGATTCCGAATCGTGAAGCCAAGCCTTCCTATGAACTGATCCCTCCACCTCTGGCCTTACACCCCATCATTCACACATACAAGGAAGGGTTTTTCAATGGCCCCAAAGGTTCCTGAGGGCCCCTTAGGAACAGGTGTTTGTGGAGCTCTTCTCCCCTAACTTTACAGCCAATGCTTTCTTCCCTCTCCCTCCTCCTGGTGGATGCTGAATCCTTATCCTCATCTCCTTTGGAGGGAACACAGAGACTCACTCCACTCCCCACTCCACTCCAGCCCTTGGGCCCAGTCTTCCTTCCCAACTGCCAGGTGTCAGGCCCCCACGGTCCCACCTCCAAAGCTCAGGGAGGGCATGTTTTCTCACACTGCTTGAATGGATGGGGATTCACCAACTGAAATCCTTCTGATGAAGATTAAGATAATATTTATTTTTAAAAGAGCTTAGCACAGTGCCTGGCACATGGTTGCTGTCTCATAAACATGTATTCGTTTCCCTGCTCTCCTGGGTCTGGCCACTCCACCCTCCATCCACTTGCCCTGCCAACACCCCTCAGCACCCCAGAGTCCTGCCATCCACCCCAACACCACATCCACAGGCGTGTCAGGCCTTTCCACCTGCCCGGCAGTTTCTTCATGGTTTGTCTCCCCCAGTCAGAATGTGGACTCTGTGATGTCAAAGGCTGTGTCAGTTTTCTGTTTGTGTCCCCAGTGCTTAGCACAGTTCTAGGCACATGGCAAGTGCTGAATAAATGCGTTTCCATTCATTCATTCATCCACTGTACGCACTGTAAACTATGAATCCGTTGCTCCAAAGGACTCAGACAAAATCACAGAGATATTAGCCATCAACAACGATTTACGGGTCAGGCCTGAGCTAAGTAATGAAGGTACAGTTGCCTCTCAAGGAGCTTACACTCTAAGGGAGGAGCTCACATTTAGGGGCTTCTCTTACCTCTGGGGGGGGGAGGGGAATACCAGATTCCACAGGCCAAAAGTTCCTGAGCCCAATGACCCAGGGAAAGAAAAGTAACTGGACTACCTAGACCCTTGGTCTTCATGCCACGCTGCCATGTTTCTTGGGTATGCCCCTCCTCTTCTATTCCATTACCTCCTCCTTAAGCCAAGTCCTCATCATTGTACACCAAGATTGCAGCACCAGCCTCTCAGCTGGTCTCCTGGCCCCTCACTTCTACCCCTTCTCGTCCTTCCTCCACACAACCACTAGATTACTTTCAGGACCATGTAATTCAGAGCTCTCAGGGCCTGCAGTGATCATCTGGTGTAATGCTCTCTTTCTACATATGAGGAAAGTGGGACTCCCTCCCACCAGAGGGTTATGACATGCGGGTAACAGGGAGCAAAGCCGAGAGGGTTTGAGTCCACACCCCCTCTTCAATGCCCAGCTCTTTGTATTCACACAAATTGCCCTGTTTTTGACAGGCCGCCCCCGGGCCAAGGACAGAGAGAAGAAGAGGCTGACTCTGCTCTCTCCCTGCCCCATTTCAGCCATCTCTCCCCCATCTTCTCTCTTGTTCCACTGTTACCTCTAGTATGCACACATGGCTTCTTCTCAGTCACAAACTCCCAGGATAAACAAGACAAGGCAACTGGGGACAGAGGGGGATCATTCCTCTCTTGCACGTCTCCAATCTCTCCATCTTCACAGGATTCCTTCCTATCCACTTAGAAACATGTGTGAGTCTCCCCAGCAGAGGTTTTTCCTCCATCCTTCTGCCCCATTAAGAAGTCACCCCATCTCTCTCTTCTTTGTCACCGTCAAACTTCTTGGAAAGTGTTTTTGCTACCTGCCTCCACTTCTCCAATCCCCAACTCCTCCTCACCCCATAGTCTGCTTCCTGCCCCCATCACTCTTTTAAAACTCTTCTCACTCAGTCCACTAAGGACTTCTTTATCATCATATCCAAAGTCCTTTTTCAGTTTCCATCTGCCTTTAGTCAATCAATCTTTAAGCATTTATTAAGCACCTACTATATGCCAGGCATTGCTCTAGGCATTGAGAACAGATGCAATGAATTAAATGATCCCTTCCATCACATACCTTACACTGTAAGCTCCTTAAATGCTAAGCTCACATCCCTGACCTTTCTGCAGCTTCTGACCTTCATTACTGATCACCCGCTCTATCACCTGGCTGCTAAATATACTTTCCTGTGGATTCGGTTGCTGACTCAAGCCACTGCTCCCTCCCTTTTACTCGCTGCTCTTCCTCTTCCTGCCCCCATCAGAATAGCTGGTCCCAAGGTTGTTCTCTCACTTTTTTCTCCTCTTTCTTTATACCATCCCTTAGCAATGTTCAATCTCATCCACTTCCATGTTGTCAGCAAAGTGCCCACATTGGGGCCCTCATCCTGCCCTTTCCCCCACTCTTAGTGCCTTCATCATAATCTGCATTATGACAACAACAACAACTTACTGTCAGTGAGAAATGTCCCACAGTGAAATGGGCTACTTGGAGAGCTGGAGGCTTCTCCCCCTTCGGGTCTTTGGGCAGAGGCTACGGCCCACTCATTGGGTATGCGGTGAAGAAGATTCCTTTTGGGCATGGGTTGGACTAGACGCCTGCTAAGGGCTTTCCACATCTCAAATTCTGTGATTTCTGTTATCTCAAAGCGAGCGGACCTCAAACTGAACTCAGTGTCTTTCCCATAAAACCTATTTCTATCAGCAGTAGCGCCATTCACCCAGTCCTTTCTATTGAAGCCCTGGAGGTCTATCTTTGCCTTCTCTTTCTCTCTCCTCCCCACATCTGATCAGCTGGTGACCTCACCCTGTCCTCTCCCCGCAATGTACTCCCTCCCTTCCCTTCCGTTTCCTCTGCCATCCCCCTAACCAAAGCCCTCATTGCCACTCAGCTCCACGGTCTTCCCAATGTAACTCTCTCCTTTTCAATTCCGTCCTCCATACCACCAGAAGACATCTATCTTATACAAATACTTGGTTCATGTCACTCCTCTGTCTACTAAATAAAGTGTGAACTTCTTGTCCAGCTATTCAAAGCCTTTCACAACCTTCACCTCTTTACCTTAGAGGCAGCTATGTGGTTCAGTAGATTGAGCTTTGGGCCCAGAGCCCAGAAGACCTGAGTCTGAATCTGGCCTCAGATACTTATTAGCTGTGCACCTCTGGGCAAGTGACTTAGCCTTTCTGTGCCTCCATTTCCTCAACTGTAAAATGGAAATAATAACAGTACTTTTGTACAAGATTGCTGTGAGGACCAAATGAGATAATATTCGTAAAGTGCTCAGCACAGGGCCTGGTACACAGTAGGCACTATATAAATGCAGCTATTGTTGTTAATTATTATGATTAATAATCATTTGATTTCCAACCTTCTCTCACACAATTTCTTGGCAAGTTCTCCACTCCGGTCTGCCACTTACCTTTCTCTGTATGTTCCCCACCTTTTCTTGTCTCCAAGTTATCTCTTACGACTGGGACACCATTCATCCCCCAACTCCTTCCTCCATCACCACCTACTAAAATCTTATTGACTCTTTGATGACCCTGCTCAAATGAGATCTCCCTGAAGTCTCCTCTTGATTCACCCTTACTTAGCCCAGGTTTCTGCACTCCAATCCCCCCTCCATTCAACCACTCAAGTGATTTCCCTAAAGCCCAGGTCCAAACATTTCACTGCCCCCTGCCTCTACTTAATGAACTCCTATGGCTTCCTGTTGCCTCCAGGAGCAAACACACAATGTTCTGTTTGTCCTTCAAACCCCTTCATAACCCAGGCCCCCCAGCCTTTCCAGTCTTCTCATGCCTTTTGCCTACCATGTACTCTTCAATCCAGTGACACAGACCTCTGGCTGTTCACAATTAAGGACCTTCATCTCTCAGCTCAGGGCACTGTCACTGCCTGGTGTCCATGCCTGCAGCGCTCTCCTTCCTCAGACTTGCTTACCGACTCCCTGGCTTCCTTTAAGTCCCAACTGAAATCCCACATTCTACAGGAAGCCTTCCCCAACCTTCTTAATTCCAGCGCCTTCCCTCTGTTTCTTACTTCCTGCTAAGCTTGTGCATAGCTTGTTAAGCTCCATGAGGGCAGGGGTTGTCTTTTGCCTCTGCGAGTTCCCAGAACTTAGCACAGTCAGCACTTAATAAATGCTTGGTTGAGTGCTTATACACTTCTCACTTGTTGTATCAATCAATTAATCAATATACATTTATTAGCCACCTACTACACGCCAAGAACACAGCATTCACATAAATGAAACAGTCCCCGTCTTCAAGGGGCTTACATATATGGAGACACAACATGTGAGTACAGGCACATACGAGAAAGGAAGAGACCAGTGACACCATAGGGTAGAGGAAGTCTCAGGTGAGGAAAGTCCCTCCACCAATTCAATCACCATCTTTTCTGAGCCCCAAGAAATGAAGGCACTTGTGCTAAATATACAGCTTCTTGAGGCCTTCAGGCCAGCTCTCTGTTCAATAATCTCTGTCAGCTCATGCATCCATAAGTACGTATACAATAAATGTGTGCAGAATGAATGCCAAAGCAGTATTTATATACACACGCTTCTAGCAGCAGCAGCAGGAACAGCAGTCCCAGCCTCTAGATCTGCCCTGGGTTTACAATGCCCTTGGCAATGCTCTCTTATTTGACTCTCAGAAGGACCTCGTGGGTTACCGGCATTGTTACCCCCATTCATTCCTCCATGTTTTCTGACCACCTGAATTGGGAGTGACCCACATTTACTTCTCCGTGTAAATGGCATCTGCTGTGATCTCTCCCCACTGTATGCTGTCCCCAGTCATGTACACTCTAGAAGGGCAGGAATTGGGACTGGGATTTTGTATCCCCTAGTTCCTAACACAAGGCGTGGCACCCTGGATACACTCCGTACACACCTTTTGAATGGAACTGCAGTATGCAGGTGAGGAAACTGCAGCTCAGAGAGGTTAGTTTGCTTGCCCGGTCAGTGGAGCTTTCCCCACCTCCAAGACCAGCATTCTTTCAGTCGTGCCCCACCGCCTGCGTGGTGAGCGTTACATACAATTGGGCAGTAGAGCTATTTCTACGTGAGTCACAGATCCCCAACCAAACGCGAGCTCCATGGAGGCGGCGCCTTGGTCACCTCACTCTTTCTGTTTGTCTCCACACCTAGAACGGCCAAATGCATACAGTAAGTGCCTAACACACATTTCCAGGAGAAAAAAACTGAAACGCAAACCATACCCTATGATGTTCCCTAAAAGAGATTTTTTTTCCTTTCTGCTCACCTAAGGAAACAGCCCTCAAAGGAAAAGGCAGCGCTTCCAACTGCTGGCGCTTCAAAGACTGCTACACCAGGCAGTCAGCTGCTGGCTCCTGGAAGGGCTGAGGCACAGATGACATTTCTTTGAAATTCAGACATTTCCCCACTTTTGAATTTTCTGAATTGGCCCCTCCCTTCCCTGCCTCTTCTGGCTGCCAGCTCCCCCTCCCCCCGCCCCTCTCATTCTAAATATAAGATCATAGGCTCATAGAACTGGAAGGGACCTTAGAAGCCGTAGACTATAACCCCTTCATTTTACAGATGAGGAAACTGAGGCACGGAGCATTTAATTGACTTCTCCAGGGTTAGGGCTAAGCGTCTGAGCTAAGATTTAAACCCAGCTCTATCTAAGTCAAGTAGTCTATGCACTAAGCCAAAGCACCTCTCAGCATGAGGATTCCTAAGGCCAGCTCTAGAACCCGAGGTTCACTGTCTACCATTCTCCTAAAACATTCACTCTGCTTTGGGGCCTAAGAGAATGATTGAGTGCAATTATAAGTCGTCTTGCCATCCACCAGGACATAAGGAGTCTTGCCATCTGCCCGAACAACCCCCCTTTGGTCAGGGAGAAGCAATCACATCAATGTTTCCACTCTTGCTGGAAAGACCGTGCCAATCTCCTTCACCATGGCTCTACCGACCACCTCCAATCCTGCTTCAGACAAAGCTCGATTCCGTGGCCACCGCTCCTCCTGCTCAGCCAGGACTGCATCCCAGAACAGAATGCAAAGTCCCTCAGGGTAAAGATCATCTCACTTTTGCGACTGCATACTTGCACACAGCTAGTACGTGTCTGAGGTGGGGCTTGAACCTGCATCCAGTGACCACTAGTGACCAGGCTCTCCATTGCTACTTTTGGATTAACAGATGGCTTGCTTATGGTCACCACCAGTATATGCTAGAAAAAGAACTTAAGCCCAGAACTTCCTGCCTCGATGGACGAATCGTAACACACCTCCTCTTCATTTTTGTATAGGAGCTATCAGTGCATGTGTGTGCATGTATACATGCATGTATGAAGGCTACACACACCTACATACATTCGCATCGCTATAGGGAGTGGATTGCATGGCCCTCGATCTGTGATTTCATAGGCATAGGGGATTCCTAATGAGGAAGCTCTACCGACACATTCCAGAACCCACTCCACGACTTAGTCTTAGACAGCCGGCTGGGGCCCTAAGAAGTGACCTGGCTTGCCCAGGGTCACAGAGACAGTTCTGTGTCTAAGCCAGAATTTGAGCATATCATAATAATATCCCCAACAACAACAGCATTTATAAACATTACCTCGTTTGATCCTAATTACAACCCTGGGAGGGAGGAGCTATTATTCTTCTTATTTTACATTTGAAGAAACTGAGGCACAGAGAAGTTGAACCCCTTGCCCAATGTCACACAGCTAAGAAGCACCAGAATTCAGATTTCCACTCGGGTCTTCTTGATTCCAAATCCAATGCTCTACCCCACTGTACCACCTAGGCATGTATGCACATGCACACATGCATAGAAACATACAAAGACATATTCATGCATGCACAGATGTGCATAACTATCTGTGTGTGCATGATATAGCTATTACTGCTACTTGAATACTATTCTTGATTTGAGCAAGATGAGCTTCATTTTGAGAAGCGGCCAGCCAGGAATCTTCAAAGCCCCAGCTGCTTCGTGTGCCAAATCAAATCAATCACAGCCCAGGGATGAAGCAGACCCCGCCCTCCTCACAATTCAAAATTCAGTTGATGTTGACTTCAAAGTACCTGTGCACTCCACATTATCATTTATATGGTAACAGAGAGAGAAATTCCTCTGGATGAACTTCAGCTCTCAGTCTGGGGGCCTGACCTGCAGGGGACCAGTTTCTCTTCCATTTTTCTCCTGTCTAGTCCATGGGTAGGTTATGGGCTTTGAAATTCTGCCTCCCCACCCACCCCCCTTCAGCTCTGATGGAATTCTCCCGAGGCAGCTGGGCCAGCCTTCCCCAGCAGAAAAAGTCCTCCCTTTGGAGAAAGCAGTGTGAGCTGGAGGCAGAATGAGTCT